GATGACGCCTGCGATCTTTTGCGACATATAGTGACACAGAATGTGGAGGACCCATGGCTCAAATCGACGAAATTCATTGTCGATGCTTTCCACTACGTCAACCACCGGGCCACAGATGTTCTCTGCCGTTTATGGTGCAACCCGGCCCCTACCAATGGCTCTCAACCAGATCTCGTATTGGTAGAAAGGGATCAACAGGGACGTACCCATCAAACTCGTGCATTCAACACCGAAACGGCCGAACAGCTGAATGCTTGGCTTCAAGGTTACGAAGCGCCTCTTCGCAATATGACAGACGTCAACTTTGATCTGTTTGTCCATGCGCTTTTCCTACTCTTTGCTGAAGATGTCCAAGCACGGATAGAGCGTAAAGACCGTGCGCTCGGGGAGGAGTTCTGGGAGAACATGCAAGAAGGAGGAGAATAAGGGTCTATAGGTGTGGCTAAGGATGTATTGAGTTTATTACAGAAAAATCTCTATTTTTATGCTGGTACTCAATGTGCCAGCAGTTTTTGGTGATGTTTTACACAAATCTCCAATGGTATATGCTGGTAGCCAGTGGCAATCGGCGGAGCCCAGCGGCATCCGGCGTGTCCCACTGCTACCCACTGTTACTCACTGCCACCCACCAGCCAACAGCGGCAGCCACTGGAGACTAACACTGACCTTCACTGGATACCAGTGGGTACCGGTGAGTGTGCCTAATATTCGGTGAAATTCGGTGTAGTTGCCAGTCCCGGGCATATTACTGCTTGACCGTGCCTGCTCCGACGGACAGTTCCGTGACTTCCGTCAGGGACTGTCCCCGGGTCTGGCCGGGGTCGGCTCGGTGACCGACCGGTCAGTCAGGCGTCAGCGCTCAGGGCGCATCATAGCTAAACATGGTATCCGCCGCCGATGCGTCGACGGGGCGTCGGAGCGATGGCGGATCATCGAGTCGGCTCCTCGGATACAGCACTGGACCTCAACGACATGGACCCCGAAGGCAGCCCGTTTCTTCATGACGGGGATGTTCACTTCCGACAGGCCTATGCTCGAATTCTCAGCGGCATTTGAAGACCGGCGCGACTTGCGACTTGCGTGCTCCGCCGCGCGTACCGTCAGAGACTCTCTGCTGTCCCCGTCATGTCTGGTGCAGACCCGCGTGTACTATGCTGCGTGATCATGATACACTCCAACACAAGCTTTTCAACAATGCACGCGCTCTCCCTGACAGCACGCGCCAATGTCAACAATACATGAAGCTGCAGAGTGTGCATGCGGTACACGGTACGACTTGGGGTGGCAACGGCGACAGGATCTCACCCCCAGAGCACAAAGTCTTGCTGGGCACTCGTGTCAGCTGCGTGCGTCGCAGATTCAGACGCTCGTGGACCACTCTCAGGCTCGTCGACCCAAACCCGCGCACGCGAGCGTTCGGCGGGTATGTTCAGCTTGTCCGTCGTTTGCTAACTGACGTGGTCACTCCAGACCGGGACCATAATGCGGCCCCGGCGGCGAACGAGCCGCCGACGACCGCGCCAACATTCTGTAGACGATATCAGAGACCGTCGCGTGCGCGTACCGTACTCGAGATCACGCGGCTGTCTTCCGAGGAGCCGTCGGAGCCATGAGCATCGTGCAGTGAAGACAGTCGGGCGTGTATCCAACGAACGATTCTCGAGCTTTCTTTCGCATAACGTTGTTTGCAGACTTCGAGAGCTAGAGCCCGGACCCGGCAATCGATGTACCAGCTGTGCCGGCATGCGATGATTTGCATATATACCTTGGTATTCAGGAAGAGGAGATGACGCGGTTTGGATCTGGGTTGGGCATGTGCCGCGGGTATACAATGACATACATGCTCCCGGGCGATGCGATTGCGTTTCTGCGCGGGACAGGAACTATAAGTACCGCCGACCACATTCGTGAGATGTTTCACATCATTTCCTCCAGAGGCGTGCTTATCATTTCCTCCAGAGGCGTGCTTATCATTCTGTGCTTCGTCCGGCCGTGAACTCGACATCGTGGGACCTCGAACATTGCGCACAACCTCAGCATCGGCGCGTTTGGCGTCGGGCTGCTTGAGCCGCTCTATCTCTCGTGGCACCACCGGGCAACAACATGTACCCACACTCTCCCGTTCTATGCACCAACTGTGACAAAAGAGAACCTGAATAAGCTTGGGATTACCGACCAGGGTTCCGGCATGGACGGCAAGTGCCCGTAGACGCTGCCGATCGTCAGCATAATCAAGAGTCTCGTGCACGTCCTTACGGGCTCTGAGACATTTGGAACGACATACGAAAATGAAATGAGGCTCTTCATAGAGATAAACGAACTCTTCTTGGTTTTTAACGAAAGGGATAGGTAAATTAATGTTCAAGGTCGGGGCTGAAGGCTGATGTCATTGTGCGGCCAGGCACGCGGGGGACAAGGCGCGAGACGCACACGCGATGTTCCAGAATGCAGGTGGTCGGCAGAGGGATACGCACACACATACAGACGCATCGACAAAGGCTCCATCAAGGACTTTCCGTACGCCGTCGACGGCATCCTAGGCAAGCGTGTCGACACTGTCGGCAACTTCATCCACCTGGTCACCGTGCTCGGAGCCGCGGACCATCTGGTTAGTTATCATCCACTTTCATCTGGGAACATGAATTTGACACGCCCGGCTGTGCACCTGGGCATCTCGATGAAGACGAGCGCAGACTCGGGAGGCCTGTTGGTGGAACAGGAGGTGCTGGAAATCTTCGCCCTCCTAGCTACCCGTCCTTCAACTCGGCTTGGATCGTCTCAAGTTTCCGGCATCCTCCGAACCTTTAAGTAAGGCGTACATGGACGTTCCGCGTTTATATAGATACAGGGTCCAATTCTCGACAGCAAAGCATCTAGGTAAATATAATCTTTCTGTGTTAGTGATATCTGTTCATGTGCCATGTCCTCAACACCCGAGTAAGCCAGACCAGAGAGTCTGCCTCTGAGCTGCTCTTGTCCAACTACTTCTCACCCGACTTCGAGTATGCAGACGGCAATCGCTTCCTGATGTTCATTGTTTCGGGGATGATGTGGTTCAGCGGACGCCTGACATTATACATACCTCGGAGGGTCGCGCCAATATACCGAAGATGATCAGCGCAGCAGACGTCTTGTTTGCTTGATCTGCTGTTCAGCGTACCAAAGCAAGCATTCAGTGGCGAAGCAACAGTATTACGGAGGGCTTCCTGGGCCATCTAACCTAGCTCTAGATTCCTCCAGGAGAGCAGCGGATGCTGGCAAAAATTTTTGGAACGCTGTCCATACGGCCGCCATGGGCTTCGAGAGCCCGTGCCACTGAAAATGGGCTGTGCAGCAAACAGGCCGCCACCTAAAAAGCTTACGCGTACTGCCGAAGACATCACGAAATTCGCTGCGTGCGGGACTCGAGGCCATTCCCGATTCAGTCACGGTACCGGTGACGACTTTGCGTCACAATATCCCCAATGATATCCGCCCTCGAAACCCTTCATCGAGCTCAGCCAGCGAAGGACTCGGATATTAGTGGACCCAAGGTTTGTCGTCATTCCTTCGTCTGCCAAGCGCCTGCTCATGAAATCGCCAGGGGTCTGCAGGTCCCACTGGCTAGGCCGACATTGAAGAATACTTGCTCGCATACAGCGGTGGAAGGGCATAATGTCACTGAGAGGATTCTGGCATGCTAGTTTCTTATGCGTGTCTTGACTAGATATTTTGGTCTTGCCGGAGATCAGAATGAAGGTACGATGAGGGACAAGGCACCATAAATATACAGCAAAAAACGAGGGCCACAGTCAAAGGGCCAATAGTTCACGGTTTGCATTCGACATAGCTGGATCGTTCTGTAACCGCGAAATTTATGTAGAGAGCCGTACTTGGAACCAACCAACGCTGAAAGTGTCCCTATCCATCGAGCTTCACGAAGATCCGATGCACTGCATTGCACCGTGGTTGGCGCACTTTATGCGCTGTGCATCTATGCATCTGTCAATCCAGCAGCAGGCTGAGATGTCTGCTGAGCAATATTAATTCCCCTTGTATTAGCACAGCGCATGGACGATGGTTATGATGCACCTACCTGCTGCAACAAATTCTCGTCCGCTCTGTCCTGCGATTCCTCCGCTGCACCATTGTCACCTTCTAGCATCACTTCGGATCGCCCGTGCTCCAGAGGCTCTCCAATGTTCCCAAGAAGATCAGAGGGTGTTCTGAAATCGACAGAGACGCAGGAAGGGTACTGTGCATCTGAGTTACCGCTTGCTGAGGTGTTATCGAGCTGGCGGAGGTTAATAATAAAGCGTTGCATTATAACAAGAGGCTGTAAATAACAGTGTTTGGTCGGTGAGCATGTCTCTCCTCAAGATATGTAAAAATGTTACCATTGACTGGAGAAGAAGGTATGCGTAGTCGTCCTGTGGCCACAAAATCGGACCCTGCCAGAGTTAATATGTATATAACTACTCACAAAACTACCGATGTTGTTCTCAAATGTCAGGAGCTGCAGAATATTCATGCCAAGAAGAGCACTTGAAGACTATGTATCAGAGATGATAATTGAGCTGTTTCAGTTCCATTAGCTTACACAAAATAACCTGTGCCTGCACCAGTATTCCATGAGTTATATTGTAGTAAAATTTACATTGAATACATACCGTCCCGGAGCAGTACAGAAGAAATGGACGGCCCGAGCCTAAGCCGTCGCATCTCTAGGAATTGCCGGAATGATTTCAGCCACGTCAGTACCAGGACAAGAATGTCAGCTGCAATTGCACTGCCTCTTGTGAGAACAAGCACTGTACGGATATATACCATTTGAATGCACGAGTATAGCTCGAAACACGAAAGACGTACACCTAGAAAGGGTTATCAATACACGATAGAGTGCCTCTAAGCTATGCATCTCACACTCTAGATAACGTTGGAGATATGTTAATCCAAATGTTGCAGGTCTGGCCTACGAGGGGCATGGTATGATACACATATATATCGTGTGTCCAGGCAAACTAAGAAATATTCAGTATAGAAAATTTACAATTGCATGACGAGAGAGATGGCGCACAATATTTGTCCCAACAGGAACTGCTCCAAGTGCGAGAACAATGGCTGAGAGGGGATATTTCATCCTAGACCCATGCCAAAGTGCATATACACGCAGAGCGGAGAATACTGCTTACAAGATAGGTCATGGAACAATTGTAGAATGGTAGGCGTGCTCACATGAGATCAAAACGATACCTGCTGCATATGCCAGGTCATTGACTATGTCAACCGATTTGCAACTTATAATAAGTGCAATGGTTTATCAGAGATTGTTCCGTGAAAGAAAGAGAAGAATACACCTGGAGAAATAACATGGTAGGGTTGAACTGGTCAGTATCACTATCATTTCAGCTGGACAGCATAAACAGCCTCACACGCAGATAGTGGCGTTGGCACAGCCATCAAAACCGAGGTGAAAAGCATGAGCCACCGAGTGATCAGCAGCAGCAGCGATGTCGCCGTAAGCTTTCTTCTCCACACGATAGCGATTTCTTGGTCAAATGTTACGATATATTCGTAGAACTGGAGGCCTGGTAGAGGAGCAGTAGGTTTCGCCGATTTCCTTGGAGTTCAGCAATGCCACAACGCACACATAAGCGAGAACTGAAAATAGCCCTGTATAACACTGAATAAGTGTAAAGGTTATCAGTGGCAGGGCGCAGATTTTGAAGAAAGAAGAGCCGTACACTTGTTGGAGCTCTTGCTCTAGTGGATTACTGTATGACTGACCCATGTTGGCCGTGGTGAGAAGGTGTGGGTAGATTGATGCAGAGCAATACCAGCCTGCTAGTAATATATACCTTAGTATGCCTGTAACGTAGTACAGTCTATGGATCAAATCTATGTATTAGCTCAGTTGACTGTATCTGTTGCTAGTGATCGAGATGGTAGAATATCAAAGAAGGGCCTTAAAGGCTGTGCGAAGAGGGCAGCTGAAACGTGGCCTCGTTTCGGATGCACTCCAGCAGTTGACATACCGCCCCAGCTAACGCAATTATCTTGCTTGTTGCCGTGCCATCTCCCTTGAGATCCAGCGGACGATCAAGGCCATAATCGGGAAGTAGCAGAGGCAAATCTGGTGTCAGACTGCTGTGTAGAATCATCGCGACTCGGTGCCTTTGCCCCCTCTGTCCCACCGGTTTCTCATAGCATTTCAACCTCGTTACCCCGATAATAGTATCAACCATCGACCAGAGGACTTCCGTTACCCGGAAAGCGCACATCACTACGGCTCCAAGGTTTATGAGCGCCCGTAAAGAAGGCAGAATTCAACCGACCGACGCCCTGCGCTATGCGATGGACTCATCCAGCTATGCTCGACGTAGCCGGTGACATTTAGGCCGTCCATGCGTCCATCCAAAATCAGAGGCCGACTCTTTAGGTCCACTAAGCGACCACGACGCGATCACCCGGGATGACGGAGCCATGCACCTCGCGGAGGGTCAAAGGAATGGGAAATTTCGATAAGCACTGAGCCGACATGATGTGCAACAGTACTAGGTGAGCCTCATGCCCTGCTGTTACTGGTAGAATGCAACGAGAAAAAGTACTAAACTTGGGAGGAATACATAAACCCTGGCTACAAAGAGCGCGCTAGCGTCGTTTGAACAAACGAGATATACGGGAAGCATACTCGAGGATGCGCGCCCTGTGGCGGTTCCTCGGTGGTGGTTGTGGTGATGGTGGTGGCGGTGGCGGTGGCGGCGTCGATAGTTGTAGCGGCAGTGGCGACGGCGGTGGGGGATGGCTGGCCACACCGACCTCACCGCCGCTAGGCGGCCGCTCCTCGTTGCGCTCACCTCCACAGAGGCAGGGATACATCAAATGGAAGCTCTCGACTTCCCGGGTGACGTCCACAGGCCCAAGGACTGGGTCTTCCCGGCGCGCCGCCAATCCACGCGCGAGGCAGCCGAGGTGGACGAGGTCGGGCGAGGAGCCCTGTATCATCGAGCTCCGGTGGTGGAACTCGCGTATCCGGAGCGTCTTCAGCGACGGACACAGCGCGCGGGTGTCGGCAGGCGCGATACGATATGGCTCGGCGCTCGGGGTGAGGTGGTCGAAGGTCTCGTACCGCAGCGCGAGGTCCTCGACGGCGGGCATGGACGACAGGACGGTCTTCCAGGACACTCCGTGCGCGAAGCCGACCGTCCTCTCGACGAGCAGGGCGCACTCAATTTGGGAGAGCGGAAGCCGCTCGACGAGACGCTGCATGAACAGACGATGGTGGCAGCCCAGCAAAATGCTGAAACGGCCCGCGCTGTTTGAGCGCCTTTGCGGAGGGAGGCTGTCGGTGGCCAGGCGGTCGTTCCAGAGATCGATAGCGAGTCCTGTACCGAGTACCGTGGAGAGTGAGAATGTCCTATAGATCGCGCCGTCCATTTTTGCGACGATGATGTCGGCGTAGTCGTGGCAAGGCGACGCTAGGCTACTGGATACCCACAGTGTCCGCATTGAGATGTGAACTGAAAGAGGAAAAGAGAGGCGATGCATGAGGCAAAATCCTGCGTCTCCCCATATGTCTATGACGGAAAGTTTCTTCAAACGAGGAAGTGAGATTTTGTCGTGAGGGCCAGAGGGTGACAGGGCGGACCCCAGTCTCTGGTGGGATGCGTCGGAGAGACGCATCGCCCTCTCCAATTCGAGCTCCTCGAGTGAGCCGAGCTGCCTGAGGAGAGGAAGCAGCTGCTCTTCCAACAGTATCTCGCAGCTTGAGAGCCGTAGACGGCATAGCCCAGGGCCAATGAGGGGGTGGAGCACGTCAGCGTTCGTGCCCGCGCACTCGAGCTCCCGCAGCGCCGGAAACTCGAAGCCAGCGAACAGAGGCAAGGGCGGCGTCCAATTGTAGTATATGCGCAGCTTCAAAGATTCCAGCTGCGAGACTTCACGGCGCGCACGCCGCGGGTCGGGCCAGCGGTCGTCGAACGCTCGCGCGGCGAACACCAGGCCGGCATGAACGACACGCCCGAACTGCGGGAGCACGAGCGCGAACAGCTCGGCCTCTGTCTTGGCGTCGACGGTCTCGACGTCCAGCAGGCAGCGCTCCACACCGTAGATGTGCAGCGGCAGGGTGCCCGACCTGCGGAGCATGTCGGCGACGCACTCGGGCCGGGTCAGCCAGATGTGCGTCGAGAGCTTGGGAAAAGCGAGAGCGACTTGGCGCCAGACGCGGCACACGTGGCGAATCGTGAGCCAGGAGTATGGGGTGGGAAAGAGGATGCGATTTTCAAGACGGGTAGTGCACACGTCGAGGATGCACCAATAGAAGACTTCGGCGAGGAGCTCTGGTGCGAGCCGGTCGATGGGAAATGGCGAGATGTTAGGGCCTCCTGTGGAAGAGGCGATAGTAAGACATAGGACATGTGCAGTCACACTGAGTCCTCACCAGTACGATTATCCTCTTTTGTCAAATCGACAAATGCACCATGGTCCCTTCCACTCGGAGGCGTGGGCACCAGGGAGGCCGGCTGAGCATCTGCATCGCTCGTTGACTCTACATTGACCGTAACCATTGTCTGTCGGTGTAATCTTGTTCGTAGCCTTGACAAGGACATGGATAGACGTTACCGGCCAGGGGTATCCGGTGATGGAGGAGGACGGGTGGCGTGGTGCAGGTGCGGAGGAGGGCAGGGGGGCAGATTGGGGCAGTGCCGGACATCACCGCGCCACAAAGTTCTTCCCGAAATGGCTCATGGGCCTAATACTCGGAGTTCTCACGATCTCGTGAGCGTGCACGTGATAATATTCAAAATGCAAATTAATTGTCTTTTCAAAAGCATTTACTACTGCCACGAAATCGTCGTCGCCGGCGCATTCAAGTCCACCGCCAGCCCGCTCACGACCAGCTCCTGCTGCACGGCGAGGTACTGCCAGCTCTGTACCGCCTCCCCGTTCACCGTTACGTTCACAGGCTTGTCCGTCCCGAGCACGGTCACGCTCTCGAGCTTCTGCCCCACCTCGTACGTCCCGGTGCTCGTGATGCTGACCTGACCCTTTGCGACGTGAAACTGCGCGTCGCGGTGCGGCGTCGGCGGGATGCTCTCGCCGTCGTCAAAGTAGGCGGTGCCAAACGCGTACCCGTCGGCGGCCTGAGCAACGAGGAGCGTGTACGGGCTCTGTTGCGTCTCTGCGATCGTGTACCCGGGCGTGGCGTGCAGCAGAAGCACGGACCCGTCGCGGACGTGCACGGGGATGTGGCCGAGCGGCGCCGCGAGCGTCGTGTTCGCGCTAATTGCGGCGTCGACGGCGGCGTGCGTGTACCAATCGCGCCACGTCGTGCGGCCCTGGCCGGGGAAGATGCCTGGAAAACGCGAGATGAGCATGGTAGGGCAAGTTAGTTGGACGTGGCTCACCGTCGACGGTCGAGACGTTCGGCGTCAGCACCGGCGTGATCAGTATGTCGCGGCCAACGAGGAACTGCCTGTCGACTGCGAAGAGCTCGGGCTCGTCGGGGAACTCGTACCACAGCGCACGAACGGGGGGCGTCCCGTACCGCGACGCGTTCGCAAACAGAGTGTACTGCATTGTCGTCTCGTATCAGCATGGTGCACCCGCGCACGAAACAGCACACGCACCCAATACGGCAACATCGCGTACCGCACGGCCATCGCGGTCCTCGACGCATTCGCGACGCTGTCCCATCGGTACGGCTCCTGGCTCAGCGCGCCCTGCTCGTTATGGTTCCTGTAGAACGGCACGAACGCGCTGAGCTGCATCCAGCGCGCACAGAGCTCCTCGTCCGTGTTCCCATTGAACCCACACGTGTCCGCGCCGACGAACGGCACCTGGAACACCTGGAACTGCAGCACGCCCTGTATATTAAGATACATGTACTGCCACTTGCTGAAGTTGTCGCCGAGCCAGTGCCCCGCCCACGTGCCCGCGGACGGGAACGTGCTCCGCGCGATGATGAACGGCCGTTTGCCCGGGTGCAGCGACTGGAGCGCGAGGTGCGTCGCGCGCTCCTCCATCGTGCCCCACAGGTTGTGCACGTCGAGCTCGGCGTACCCGCCCGCGTGCGTCGCGTTCGTCGCGAGCGCGTGCAGCGACAGGCGGCCGTTGCCGTTGTGGATCGCGTACGGCGGGGTGTTGAGGTCGACGCCGGTCTGGTTGCCCGCGCCGACGCCGCGCCGGGCGAGTGCGGAGCCGGTGGTGGTGTTGACGTCGTATGTGAGCGTGCCGTTGATCGTCATGTTGCCGCTCGGGCCCCAGACTGCGACGTTGTACCTGGTGAGAAAGCAATGTGAGCAGGCATGGAGAGGGTGAGAGGGAAGCCCCACGCACCCTTCTGGGTAGTCCGTCACCAGCGCACCCGGCATGCCCGGCAGGAAGAACGGCACCGTCGTGTTCGACAGGTCCGCGCCGGTGCCACTGTCCACGGTGCATCAGCCCTCGAGCACGCAAACGCGAGAAAAAGCGGCGCACCAGGACCCGTCACAGAAGCTCGAGGCCTCGTTCATGTCGAGCCAGATGCCGGAGAACTCGATGCCGAGGCCGCTCCAGTTCGTGAGCGCCTCTGTCCAGTATTGCTGCGTATTATTGGCGAACCAGTCGGGGAAGACGGTGTAGCCGGGCCAGACCTGCCCGACGTACTCGCTGCCGTCGGGGTTCTTGATCCAGACGTCACTGGACGCTGGCTGTCAGGCAGGCGAGAAAGATTCTGTGCGAAAAGTACTTACAGTTCGGCTCCACGAGTATAGGGGTCGTACTGTCAAATGAGCCGTCAGCAAGGAATAAAACTGCGGGAGCCGAAGAGACGCACAATGTCTGTGTCGTTGACTTGCTTGGCAACTGCGGCATCGACGATCGGAATGTAGTGCTGGTTGTTAGCGGCCTAGAGGACACCATCAAGACGACGACGACCAACGGCGAAACCAAGGCAACGCACCAGTTCACGAATGAACGTGCGCATCTCCTCTGGCGGGAACGACACAGGGTCCGCCGTAAAGTCCCTCACCGCATGATACAAGTTGATATCATTCCACATCACTTGGCCCGCTCGTCAGCATCCGCACCTCGCGTCAGGAAAAGGTTGCGACGCACCTTCGAGCGGGATGTCCGCATCACGCATGCGCTGCACCTGCTCGCGCGTCTCGTTCAGGCTAAAATAGCCCCAGCGGCACAGGTGGAACCCGAAGCCCCAGGCGGGCTGCCACGTCGGTAGACCAACCAGCGCACCGTACTGCTCGATGACCTCCTGTGGGCTCGGGCCGGAGAAGAAGTAGAGGTCGAGGGTGCCGCCGATCAGGCGGTACTCGACGAGTGAGACGTTGGACGACGGTGGGGTCAGGAGGAGGATGTCGGAGCCGGAAGAGCTGTAGGGCTAGTTAGATTGGGCTGGTGATGAGCGGAAGGCGGTGGCGCACCTGAAGAGGAAGACGCCGTGCGTCTGTGAACGCTTGGTCGTGGCGTTGTAGCGGTGCTCTAGGTAGATCGGGTGCGAGCCATAGCTATAGAGACGAATCAGTCGCACGTTTCTCGCGAACAGAGAAGGACACCTACACGTTCTGGTCGATGGGATCAGCAATATCCCGCGCCCACATCGTCTGGATCGTCCCGACGCCGCCGTCTGTGCCGACATCTCTGCGGAAGCCGCTGCTCGCGACGACCTCTCCCAGGCCATAGATGTTCGTCCCGAGTGGAAGCGCAGACGTGAGCTGCAGATATTGGTCTTCGAACACGAGCGGGAAGCCGTCGAGGGCAGTGGAGTTGTCTGTCGAGATCACGGGCGGGATGGGCGTAGGCGGCAGGGACGAGATCCGGGTATCGAACAGGGGCTGCGCATCGGGCTCGGAACGGCGGGTGATCCAGAACGCAAATGGAGAGGGTTCGTAGTTGAAAACGAGGTCGGAGCTGTTTTTGTGAATGGAAGTCGGCTTTCCCGGAAGGTCGATTACCGAAGATGGGATGGTGAATTGGGAATTTGCAGTGTCAAAGATGTTCACGTGCAGCCTATTACGGGTAAGCACATGCTATTAGAGGAAGTTGTAAGTGGATTCTCTCACCTCGTATCAGAATCATAAGTAACTTCCAGGGTCAAATTTGCAATATCTTGCCCAAATGCGTCGCAAGCAGCGCCGGCCAGGTTGAGCTGAGCGGCCAGCCCAGTGTCTGTCTCTTGCAGCGCACTCAGAGTATAGCCTGCAACATGTCAGATTCCGCCGTCATATCCTACAATGTGTGACTCACCGGGGCAGCTCGAGACGTTGAGCGAAAGCGTGGGCGCTCGGGGTGCGAATTGATGGGGAAGCGCATCACGTTGAAGCTTGGACGGCTCTCGGCCCAGCACGACCGCGGGCAGCAGAAGCCCAGCAAGGACTGCGGACAACATCGTCAACACGAGCTTGAAGGCTCAAGACGAAGTGGGTCGAAAGGCGAGTCTCGAAGTCGAACCGGCCGAGTTTTATAAAGCGCTAGCTTGGCCTGGCCATCACGAAGCTGATGCCCTGATGCCAAGCGACGTCAGCGTCGAGCGCGTTCTGCGTACATTGTGCCGTCATGGGTGCGAACGTCTGACATGGTCACGCTGGACCTGCCGTCGAAGCACATCGCGGCCCATCTCATCTCGGCCGGTCCTCGTGACCCCATTGGGGCGCCAAGGCCGAAGCGTCCGTGCCGGGCTGGATTTCCCTCAGGTGCGCAACAGAAGTGGGATGCTAGGGTCGCTGAGGAGGCATCTGCTGTCTTTGGACGTCGTGGTCCAAGTCGATCGAGCTTTGCGGGTGACACGTGTATCATCCCTTTGTGGCGCGGTTATCTCCGGGAACCCGTTTTCGCCATGTCCGCGCAGCTTAGTGAGTCACTAGCCGCCAGTAGCGAGAGCTCAACCTCTCGTACGCTTCAAAAAATTTTCTCCTTTGAGCGTAAGTATCTTTGTTTCATAGGTCATCTATAGCTTCCCGGTTGTACAGTACTGTAGACGCATCAAATGTCCGTATCGTTACTATCGTAGGCCTAGCTTCCAACGCGACCATCCTGCCAGCCGGCCCTCTGCGCGTGCAGTCGGCCAGCCGCCCCCAGACGACTCTGACGTGAAAGCTCAGGGGGCCTTGAAGTGATATGCTGGCATGCGACAACGGCAGTATTGCTGCCTGGCTAGCGGCACGTTATCACCTTCGCATAGGATAGTTCTCAGTTTTTGTTTATTCCTCTGAGACTCGGGTTTTCGGACCTTCGAGCTGAGTTGCTGAAACGATGCTTACCCGGTGAGCTCTTGCATACCAAAAATTATTCATATAACATCAGAAGCTGCAGCTTATAGTATCACGGCATCAAAAGGTTTCTGCTACGACAGTAAGTATCGGGCATGTGCTGGCAATGTCCTCGCGACTAGTCCTAATCCTTCTCAAGTTGATAAATATACAACTTTACAAAGATTCGCATTCCGATATGTTTTATGCTGTAACCCATGCGAGTAGTTCTCGTGTGCTTGAGACGGCTCAGGTGACCATTACCAGGTACGCTGCCTTCATGCGATACGTTGTACATTAATGGAGCCCCGAGGCGATGCGCCTGCGGCACAAAGAATCTGCGAGCGCGTGTTTGCTAAAACCTCATGGATGCTACCATCTTTCGCGTTTAAATGTGGACACTGTTGACAGCATCATGCAACTGACCGCGAAGACTCCCAAGCCCTGTCATGCGTCTTTGTTGTCGTTCCGAAATAAGTATCCGGCTCCTCGAGATTCCTGACAACGCAAATATAGCATTTCCATTCAGCATTTTCATCGCATCTTGCTCTATATCTTTGATCCGCGATGGCTTGGGATTCGGTACTTCGATGCCGGCTGGTGACCAGGCTCAACCGCGGTTTGATGCCGAGATCGCAGTCACAAACATTATCAACATCATGGCTGGTGCGTCCCTTCACCTCACTCGTGCATGTGCGCACAGAACAACGGCGATGCAGTGCTCGTAGCGACGCGCAACTTGCACTCTCGGCGGCGGCTCAATCACGAGTACTGTACGAGTACTGTGCCTGTGCAGTATTCATGGTCACGGACCGCTACTGGATTGCGCTCCGTGTGGGCGTATAGAGTCAGCTCCAGTGATTGAACGGGCGTATGGGCTGTCTAGATGCCACCAGCTATGTCGAGCACGGCCGAGCGAGTGTGTCATGTGGCGCACGGCGTCAGTCAGACTCTGCCTTTTAACGAGCGCGCCATAAACCGACGAGTCGTAGTGAGTTGCGTTGTTCGGGGAATATAAGCCACCTCGTCAGTATTTGATTCTATTAGTACTGGAGCCATGAGATTGAATGGTGATGAGATTTTAGTGGGACGAAGTCACAACAATTCTGCGCGGCAGTTCGACACCAAATATGCCTGCACTGCTTCCTAATCATGTACGCGATCGCATACTATACCTCAAAAGAGATATTACAGCAACAAGCTAAATAGTTGCGCTGACTGGGGCTCTGTGCAAACTGCTGGGGTGGGTTCGAAATGAGGTCGCGTTTCAGCTGCCCTATTTGAGGAGCTTATAAAGCCCATCTGCTGTACTCACGTTTGGTTATTCGTCAAGGTATTTATGATATCTGCATTGTAAGGATGTACCATCCAACACATGATCCCTCTTTGATGTTCTACTATCTTGATACATAGCAGCAGACTACAGTCAACTGAGCTGATACAGAGATCTGATATAGGGGCTGTACTGGGTTACGGACACGCTGTAGTATATATTCTTCACAGACTAGTCTATTGCCCCGCATCAACCTACCTACACCTTCTCACCAGAGCTAACATGGGTCAGTCATACAGCAACCCATTAGAGCAATATCTTCAACAATAGTACAGCTGTTCTCTCTTCTCCCTTCAAAATTCACACCCTGACACTGACACCGTTTACATCTATTTAGTCTTATATGGAATTATTTGTCATATTCGCTTGCCGGTACGTTGTGGTATTGCTGAGCTCGAGGAATACCGGTCAAGCCTACTGATCTTCCACCAGGCCTCCAGACCTACGAATATATCGTAACATTTGACCAAGAAATCGCTCTGGTGTGGAGGAGAAAGTTTACAGCGACATCGCTGCTGCTGCTAAGCACTCGGTGGCTCATGCTTTTGAGTGTGGTTTTCATGTTTTCGCCAACGACACTAGCTGGGTGTGAGACTGCTTATGTTGCTCAACTGTAAAGACGAGTATACTGACCATTTTTACCCCACCCGGGCCATATTATTTCTCCAGGTGTATCTCTCTCTCTTTCGCAGAACAATTTCTGATAAATCATCACACTTATCGCAAGCTGCAAATCGAACATCATAGCCAACGATCTGAGATATGCGGCAGGTCTCATGGTGATACCATGTGAGCACACCTGCCATGCATCGATGGTTCTATGACCTATCTTGTCAGCAGTATTCTCCGCTCTGCGTGTATATGCACTCTGGCATGGGTCAAGGATGCGACATCTCTTCTCCGCCATTGTTCTCATACTTGGGGCAATTCCCATTGTAACAAACATTGTGCGCCATACTTCCCTCATCATACAGCTGTAAATTGACCATACTGAATTTCATGTAGTTTGGCTATACGCACAGCATTTTTGTGGATCAAAACACGTCCCTGATAGGTCCGACTTGCAGCAGCATGTTCACCTTTTCTGCAGGGCTCACCACAGCGTGAGTTGTGGGATTTAATGGTGCTATGCTGTGTCCTGATAACTTCTCTTAGGTGTACGTCTGTCATATTTTGGCATATACTCGTGCATTCAAGTGATACATATTCATGCAGTGCTTGCCCTCACAAGAGCCAGTGCGATTGCTGCCGACATTCTTGTTCTGGTGCTGACATGGCTAAAATCATTCAGGCACTTCCAAGAGATGCGACAGCTCAGGCTCAGCTCGTCGATTTCTGCTATACTGCTCCGGGATGGTATGCATCCAATATTAATTTTACTCGCTTTCCTGCAATGTGACTCATGGAACGCTAACACAGGCACACTTTATTTTGTGTAAGTTGAATGAACTGAGATGGCTCAGTGATGCTCTCTAATGCATGGTTCTTCAGCGCCCTTCTAGTCATGAATATCCTGCAGCTCCTAACATTTTCGAACAGCGCCACTCGTGTTGTGAGTAGCTATATGCATCCTTACTCCAGAAGGGTCAAATTATGTGGCTGCAGGAAAACTATGCAGACGTTTTTCTCCTGTCAATGGTACTAATCTCACATATCCTGAGGAGAGCCATGCACACTAACCATACACTGTTATATGCAGCCTCTCGTGATGACGCAACGATTTATTCTTAATCTCCGCCAGCTGCGCAGCTCCTCAGGAAACAGTAACTCAGATGCACGGCATTTCTCTCGCTTCTCTGTCAATTTCAGAATCCCCTCCGATTTTATTGGGAACATTGGAGAGCCTTTGGAGCATGGGCAGTCGGAGGTGATGTTAGAAGGTGGAGACAGTGCAGGGAAGGAGCCGCAGAATAGACCGGACGAGGATCCCCTGCAGCAGGTAGGTGCATCATGATTATGATCCATGCATTGGGTTAATATAAGGAGAATTAATATTGCTCAACAGACATCCCAGCTTGCTGCCGGGCTGACGGAGTCATCAATTCACAGCGCATAATGTCAGACCTTCATGTTTTAGGTGTGCACACATTGGTGCCACACGCATAACTTTTGCATTCACTTTCTCACGCTTCAAGGTATATAGTAACTACACTTGCATGCAACCATTCCCCACGCGTTTGGACCGCTACCGTCGGCGTTGCCCCTCGGGAGCGTGCAATACACACCCTTTCGCTGTTGTACGCGCCCGCGCCCCCAGTTCCCCAGGTTATTTCAATACATAAGGCGCGGCAATCATGGTGCAATGCATTATTGGTTGTCCGTGAAGCTCGACAGATAGGGCAGCTTTCAGCGTTGGTTGATTCCAAGTACAGCTATATATATAATTCGCAATTACAGAGCGATCGAGCTATGTCATATGCAGATTGTGAACCATTGGATTTTTGACTGTGGCGCTCATTTTTCGATGTATAAACTAATACCTCGGCCCTTATCATACTTTCATTCTGATTTCGCCGGAGCTATATATATCATACCTTAAATTGTATTAGCTGGTCATCTGTCAAGGCACCATGCAAGGCGTGGCGTATTGCACGATTGAATCTCTTGATATCAAGTGTGGCCGGCTGTTAGGTCAACAACCTGTGAGTAGCTTGACGCTGTCTTCCCTAATGGGTGGTAATGCTCAATTTTTAACACGTACCCAATAAATTTGCGGCGCGGAAACCCTGAGGACAGCCTCGTTTCCATGTTAACACTCTGCTGCGCCATGTAGTGGCCACGATAACATCTTGACGCCTCCTATCCAGGACCTGCACGATTTACATTACGCAACGCGATATTGACCTTCTTCCAAAAATACAGCGCAAAAAAAAGCAGAGTGGGTCCCTGTATAGGTTGTAAGCGGTTGGCCAACGCGGACCACAACTTCCGCATGCGGCATGACCCCAGTCAGCTAGACCGCTTGCGGGGACCATGGTCGCGAGTCCATCGACGGCGGCCTACAGATGTTCGACAGTCCTTCATACCATCCTCATACAGGCTGATCCCGAGCCTAATTGTGGCGCGCCTGGAACACTTCAGTGCCAGCCATCTCGTCGTCCAGAAGCACGCGTACGTGGGAAACAGTCGGAAAACTCGCTACGATATCCTGACGCCTCGTGACTTAATATGTACGTCTTTCTGTTCGATAATGTCGAGTAATACTGAGCCCACCGAATGCAACAGCCAGCGGTCTACTGCACCTTCTGTAAGCCGTTTCACCGCAGCTGCTGAACGCACGTCGACTCACCACCACATATCCCCAAAATTCTAGCCGATCTTCCCTTCGTCTGAAGAATCAGGCCACCAACGGTCCAGGCCACCGTTGATACCACTGGCCTGTCCCGCAGACCGGCTCAAGCTGTACATGAGGCGCTCAACATCAACATCTGCACTCTTCGCGGGAACACAACGCGCAGAAAAACAGATGGGACGTCGCCGTCTGGCGCACGGACGGTGTAGAGCGAACGCTGTGATGCGCCCACGCTCCACAACAGCGACGCACACGACTGCGGACTCCACCGCCTGTCTGTCACGCACAGCGAAGATACTACATTGGTGCGCCCGTCCCCGCCCATATTCTGCTGGCTGTAAATTATCATCGGTGGCGATGCGCCTGTAGATATTGGCACGTGCCGCAGGATCGTCGATGGCAAGATAAAACTCAAGTCCGCGGTCGTGCGGCGTCGGGCCTAGCAACAAGAGTAATCTCCGTGCGGGCGCTGGTGACTCATCGTTGCTAAAATGTGCGTGCCGTGCCACCAGCGACTTTCGATGAACAAGCTTCTCTTTTGTGCGTGTTAGGTTGGATGATGTGCGTGCCGAACTGCAAGATGCTTGGCGAGGCCATCAACGCGACAGCCTCGCAAGCTGTCAGCTTATAGCTTCGAGAATATCTACACGACTCAGTGGATGAGGATCGCGGAGAAGAGGACCATCTGGATTCGCAGAACTCAATAAGCGGCGAGAGCAAAATATCTAGTCAGCACACGCACACACAGAAGTAACACGCCAGCATCCTCTGAGTAGCCTTACGCCCTTCAATCGTTCATCAAATGCACGCCCAACTGCCTGCCCTACGCGACACCCACGGCTTCGACGACCCGGAAGATGGCCGTGTGATCCCAAGCACGGTATGCGCCCGCGACGGTCTCTGATGTCGTCTAGACGATGTTAACACGGTCGTCGCCGGCGAACGAGCCGCTGGAGCCACACTCGGGCACCAATATGGGGTCTCCGCATCAGTTAACTAACGACGGGAGAGCTGGAAGAGGACACACCCGCCGAACACTCGCGTGCGCTAGTTTAGGTCGACGAGATTATCCACGAGTGGTCGAGTCCGCGACGCATGCAGCTTAGTGCTGCGATAGGGAGACGGATGTCCAGGTATCGTGTGACAGATGGCTTGTTCTTGACTGAAAGCACAGTGGGCTAGCGGGTGTGCCCAACCAAAGCTGAGACAAGGGACAACAAGGGACAACGGCATGCTCACTGATTCCTCAACTATAAAAGTGGCAGGTGTCTATAACTAACTATGAACATCGAGGCACTTGCATCAAGATCGAAGTGTATGCGAGAGCGCGGCTTCCAGAGTATCAGAGGGCAAAAAACGAGCAGGTGGGCGCACCGGCGCAGAGCACTCAGAGACGCGTAGACGCGCGATGATCAAAGCCGTTATCAGTAACTGATTAGATAAGAGTAAACAACAGAGGCGCTTATCTGCGTCTTGCTCGTTTGGCCTTGTCAGTCACAACTTCCTTACATCCTGATCTTCCCTAGTCTTTCGACACAAACGTGTTCTCCGACATCTGACCCGTGTCGATACGTTGCGCTCTACCAGGTACGTGCTACGCTCTCACAGCTGATACGCGCGACGTCCTCGATGGCCCTAGTACTCGTTCTGCATCGAGGATGGAAGCTCGACCTCCTCTCCTCTCCTTGGTTGAAATCAGCCGTAATGCATACTTGCATACGTTCATCAAACCCTCAATATGGTGCGTAAACTCTTCACCGCTCGGCCACAGCGATTTTCACCTGCGGCCCGCGTTGTTCTGTACAGGGTGATTCCAGTCCCCGTACCATACGACATACTTCGTCCTATCGTCCCAGAAGTGATAATCAACTCCAATAAAGGTCGTCTTGTCAGCACTTGGGTGTTTTTCTGTGCAGAGTGCAGACAAAGTGAGTTGCGATAGTTCTTGTTATTGGACCGCATCTTACAGATCACACATGTGCCTCTTCCAGGGACGAGTTCTACACCTCAAGCGCAATTCGAATTGCAGCTGTGGAAGCCGGCCAAAACTAGGCGCATCATTCTGAAAGCGGTGGCAAGAGCGTTGTGTAGCAAGCTGAACAAGGTTCGTAAAGATGGGCTTTAATAGAGAGATACCTGTAGAGATAGCTCACGTCCAATCATGTAGGCAACACAAAAATCCTCTGCCCCCAGTCAAATCTTGTCGTGTACTATGTCTAGCGTTCCAGCACGAGTGCTCAATGTCTTACCATCCCGAACAGATTCCACGTCTCGCCTTTCCACTCCGTATCGCGGTTACTGTGATACATAGTCCCACCTATAGACGAGCTGCCCGTGCATAGCTTATACAGGGCACGATGTAAACGGAAGCACACACCTTCTATCTTTCGAGTTGGCACTGCATGCACCGCTTGCGCTGCACCCGCGGCTCATCATGCGCGCGGCAGACCGTCAAGTTGACATGCATGAGCGTACGCTTTCTGGCTCATATGCATCGCATTGACACTGACGAGCGTGAACATGCCAGATATTTGCCGGTGCCTGTAGGCGAGCGAACACTTTTCGAAACGCTCTGCACTCGTGGTGCGCGTCGCCGCTGGTGCCAGAGCCCACCTGACTCCTTACACCCCCGCTGTAAGTCCCAATTCTCTCAACGGTCGCGTTCGTCTTCAATTTACATTTCTGTCTGTCCCAGCATCGTCTCATGCGTCTCGAGCATGCGTCCCTCAAGTAGAAAATCGCCAAGACAGATCTCGTATGTTGGATGTTGTAGCGCGCGGTGACTTGTCCGGCTAACGAGCTCGCCAAGTCAGAAACCGTACGCCAGTCAGCGCATTCTACCCGCTCATTGGTATGCTAACAGGACGAATGTTGCTCCTAGATCGTTCGCCTATGCTCTGCCCCCGGTCGCACCATGACCTCTGAAGTCGTCAGCGCAGGCAATGCCCGGGCTACCATCATGCTGGTCGATATAATTGGGATTGGGACGCGGAGCTAACACGAAACACCCCGGACGCTTAAGGAGTTTGGGGCGGAGTTACGTGCTGTTCGAGTTGCGGAGGCGAGACATAACGTCGGACGGTGAGCGTGCTGAGGCCTGGACGTAGGTGACAAGGTGTATATTATCGGTCGCAAGCGGCCTATGATGAAGAGTAGCTGCTATATAGAGGTAGCGGTGCGAGCCTGGTGGTGTTTGGCGTGATTCGGAACATTAACGATATTAGATGTAGCGATACCGCGGTGTATCGCTTCGCTTCCAGAATCCACGCCATTCTGCCCAAGGCCAAGCGAAGGAGCCGGCCCGGCTATTCTGCCTGAATGTCTACCGTCCGAGTCAGACCCGACTTCTGCGTCGATGTTCTTGCCGAACGCGAATCGGTGAAGTCGCTAGAGGCTTGGGAAGAGCACTGCAGGAGGGCATGATTCTGAGAAGCAGCAGACGCCTTCAGTACCGCGACGACCAGGGTCGGCGTCGAGAAAGAGAGGCAAACTAGCTCACGAATAAATGTGCGCGTTTCCTCAACGTTTACAGACGCACGGCGTCTTCCTCTTCCGGTGCCCTACCGTTCTCTCCTCATCCAGATATGCACTCGTCGCCTTCACAGCTCCGCCAACCCCGCCAACCTCTTTCTGACGCTGCCTTCCTCGTCCGTCTCGCTCGTCGAGTACCGCCTGACCGGTGGAGCGCTCAGTCTTCACTTGTCCGGCCCGAGCCCGCAGGGGGCCACCGAGCAGTACGGCGCATTCGCAGGCCTGCAGACGTGGCAGCCGATGTGGAGCCTCGGCTTCCATTCATGCCGCTGAGGTTGCTTCAGCTGGACCGGGATGCGCGAGCGGGTGTGGCGCATATACAACGCGAACATTCCGCTCGAAGGCGCGTCGCGCGCGTTGGAGCGTGGGGGCCGATAGGGCCGCCAGTGATGTGGAATGTCATTAACTTGCTTCATGCCATGAGAGACTTCACGGCGGTTTGGTGTCGCTCTCAGCGGTGCTCGATGTAGATGGGATGCGAACCATGGCTGCAGAGACGAATCAGCCATGGTGCACTTCTCGAGAGCAAGGAAAGAAACCCACGCGCTCCGGTCGGTGGGATCAGCAACGTCCCGCACCCACATCTTTTGGATCATCCCGACGCCGCCTTCGGTGCCAGCGTCTCTGCGGAAACCGCTGCTCGCGATGACCTCTCCAAGGCCGTAGATGTTCGTCTCGAGCGGAAGCGCAGACGCGAGTTGAATGTACTGGGAACCGAACGCTAGCGGGGAGCCATCAAGGGCAGTGGAGTTGTCTGTCGAGATGGGCGTGGGGGAAAGAGAAGAGATCCTGGTGTAAGACAGGGGCTGTGCATCAGGCTCAGAGCGGCGTGTGATCCGGAACGCGAACGGAGAAGTCTCATGGTTGAGACGATATCAGAGTTGTTTCTGTGAAAGGAAGTCGGCTTTCCTGGAAAGTCGATTACCGAAGATGGGGGGCAGTGAACTGGAAATTCGCAGTGCCGAAGATGTTCACATGTAGCCTGCCACGAGTAAACACATAGTATTTCAGGATGCAAATGAACGCTCTCACATCGTATCAGAATCATAGATAACTTCTGGGGCCAGGTTTACAATACCCTGCCCGAACACGTTGCAAGCAAGGCTGGCCAGTTTGAGCTGAGCGGCCAGCCCAGTGTCCATCTCCTGCAGCGCGCTCAGAGTATGGCCTGCAACATGTCAGATGCTGCCGTCATTCCATACAATGTGCGACTCACCGGGGCAACTCGAGACGTTGAGCGAAAGCGTGGGCGCTCTGAGTGTAGACTGATGGAGAGGCGCGTCACGTTGGAGCTTAGGACGGCTCTCGGCCCATCACGAGCACGGCCAGCAGAATCGCGGCAAGAACTGCGGACAGCATCGTCAGTGCGAGGCCGAGGGCTCAGAATGAAGTGGGTCGAAGGGTGGGTCTAAAAGCAAAATGAACCGGCCGAGCTTTATAAAGCGCTGGCTTGGCTTGGCCATCGGGGAGCTGATGCCAGGGCATCAAGCGACGTCAGCATCGAGAGCATACGCACGGCAGCCGCCGTCACGGGTGCAAACGTCTAACATGGCCAGTGGCCACGCTGGCGTGGCACACGTGACCCTGGTAGGGCGCCAAGGCCGAAACATCCGTGCCGGGCTAGAATTTCCTCAGATGCACACCAGAAGTAGGGTGCTGGAGTCGCTAAGCGGGCATTGACTAGTTACGGTTGCCGAGCAGGCTCAGGTCAAATTCCCGAGACCCAAGTCAGAAACCCAAACCTGATACTATCAGCGCTCGGATAACCGCCGCACACCACCAATCTCCGAGTGCACTGGCGCCTCTTACTCTGAACATTTGAGCATTTTCAGCATAAATAATCGATTAATATTGCATGTATACGAGGTTAGAAGTCAAATGAAGCATGTCAATCATCGTTGGCAGGCCAGGCGGTGGGGTGAACAGCGATGGCGGCGTTAGGCGCCCATTTTCCATATAGAAGCAGCGCGTCGGGGCTTGGGCCCCCTTGCCGTCGGGAGTCGTTGCAAGTGTGCTTGACCTTGCCCTCCTGTATAGCTATTTTACTAAATGTATATATATTATCAGCCGCCAACCTAGTTATGACCAATATCACCTAGTGAGAACAAGTCATGCTTAGTGATGTGCGGGCCGGGCCTCAAAGCCTCCAAGCCCGCCAAGCCCGGCCCAAAAAGCCTGGCCCGAGTCAAGCCTGGCAGCGGGCTCAAGGCCGGGCTCGGAGCGTAGTCAAGCCCAAGCCCGGCCCGGAAGCCCAGGCTTGGGTGTGCTGGCTCCGTTACCGTTCCCTGAGTTCAGAATGAGGAGAGAGCGACCTAATATGCACATAGAAGACAAAATGTAGATATTTTAGATGTAACGGCTCCCGCCGAGCACGATTGTGCGTCACCATCTGGTGCCTGCCGTAGGCGCACGCTCGTGGACTTCGCTGCGACTCGACTTGTTCCGCAGATGTAGATCTTCTGGAGGTTATAATTTAGTGAGTACATGCAGTATTAATCTACTACACCCAAATACATTCCCTTTTGATAGCACCGGAACACTTGTTGTATTGTGAGCAAGCCCGGGCTTAAGCCCAAGGCTTGGGCCGGGCTCGGGCTCGGCTCGGGCTCAGGGCTCGGCTCGACGTCGCCACAAGCCCAAGCCCGAGCTTTGAGCCCAAGCCGGGCCCGCACATCACTAGTCATGCTGTACCACCCATGTTTGAAGAATTGTTAGAGGTTACAGGTGTTGCAAATGTTGATGCGCATATCGCAATGTTGTCTCACATCTCTATCATACCTTGACATCCCTAACACGATGTGTGATCGTTCGCCGAAGCGGCTAGGGCCTCTTCGCACGCCGTGTTTTGCTCACTTCACACTAGCTTTCTAGACCACCCCGCTTCGTCCAGACCTGACTCCCTCCTCTCCCTCTTCTTCCCGTGCTACTGCATCAATTTTGTAGCAGCCCCATGCACATGGAATGGTGGCAGTAGGATTGATTTTATTTATTTATTTTGCTACCTGTTTTCTGCATGTTATAATAGACAGCGCAGCCCCATACAAGCATATATGTTTCTCGACCGCCCTACGGTGCATGCCAACAGGTAATCTTTTGATAAGCATCTTTGCTCCCTGAGAGAATGCAGGAAACCCGCTATAGGTATAATAGAGCACATATCGATTGTTAGGAATGAGGTGAATGCGCTCCTCATGCCGCCAGCAATCGGATTTTTACTCCCTCATGGTGGGGGCATTCAAAGTCTACACGCGCTTCAGTCGCGTTTCACTTCGTTCGAAGCGACTCTCGATGCGGCCATGAATTGGTTTTGCGCGCACACTCTGAATGCCTCTATTGGACAAAACCGTGATTTCTGTCAAATGAATCTCAGACAAAAATCAAGCCTCCAAGATCACGAAACCCCGAATCACAAAATTTGCCAGATCTTGACCTCCACAATCTCATCCGTGCAGCTGTGTACGCAGTGACGAGAAGGGCGGGCGTCTGGGTGATCGAATGTACATGTACTTAAGCGGCTGCCCTCAGCCTGAGGTGCTGCCTGCATCCACCGCTTTCTCTCCCTTGAGATTTGCGACAATTTGCTTCTGCAAAACACCTTCTCTTCGATAGACCGATGAAGCTCGTTGCCATACTCTCCACCTACGTGGCTCTCGTAGTCGTCGCGCTGAGCAGCATGACAGCTGCTAGTCCTGTTCCACAATTTGCCGTACGTCGCACCCCGCGCTTTTGCACGCACTCGCCGTTCTCTGACAGATCCCTTCACTTGTAGGGGCCTCAACAGCTTGGTAATAAAGTCAGCTCCCTTGCCCTACTTGGTTTCTCCTGTGATCTGATGTTTGCGAATAACTAACTTCAGGGGCCGGCGTCAGACAGCATCGTGGAGCCCTGCGTGGAATGCGTGTTCCGTTAATAGTTGTAGCGCACGCCACCTATCTGTGCACAACGAGTCTTTCCGCACCGTTTGGGCCTCAAATAAGCTCTGTATATCTGTTGAAGACTTCTTGGTCTCGGTCTCCATCGTTCCCTTTCCTTCGCTTGAATTCTGCACACAGTGTGTACCAAGTATGCCGGCCCAGTATATTCTAAGTCGCTCTCCATTATCATGCGCGAGGTGTGTCTAAGACTTCTATGTGCTAGTAAGCTATCATCTGCATTAGCACCGTTTCCTGTGCATGTCATACTGCCAATATCGTCACGTTCGACGTCGATAGTGATCACTTATGAGTCACTGGGGGCCTAATCTCGTTCCGAATTCATCGGTGCTCTACGTCTTACGTGTTGGCCACCGCGCACAAAAATGTTGTGCGGTCGGAAGTGATGCTAGAAGGTGGAGAGGGTGCGGGGGAGGAGCCGCAGGATAGACCGAATGCGGATCCCCTGCAGCAGCCTAAGGTAGGTGCATCATGATTATCATCCATGTATTGAGCTCATTCAAAGGGAATTAATATTGCTCAGCAGATATCCCATCTCGCCATCGAATTGACGGAGGTATCAATGAATAGCGCATAAGGCGCAGCAGTTACGATAAATGCATGGCATTGGATTTCCGCGAAAGCCCGACGGATAGGTGCGCTTTCAGCGTTGGTTGATTACAAGTACAGGTCTACATATAAATTTTGCACCTACAGAACGATCAAGCTATATTGAACGCAGGCTGTGAATTGTTAGCGTCTTGACTATCGCATGCCACTCGTTTTTTGCTGTATATTTATAGTGCTTCGGTCCTTATCGTACCATCATTCTGGGTCCGCTGGTGCTATCTATATCATACGTTAAATTGTATTAGCTGGTCACCTGTCAGGGGTCCATGCAAGGTGTGCCACTGTGTCACGCCATTAAATCTCTTGATATTAGGTGTGGTTAGCTGCCAGGTCAATAACCTGCGAGTGGCCTGGCGTTGCCTTCTCGGCGGGTAGACGTGGTGGTCCAAGTCTTATTCTGTGATCCAAGACTTTGCGGTGCGGAAATTCTGAGGACAGGCCTGCCCTGACGTCAACACTTTGCTGCGTCATGCACTAGCCAAGTTATCATCTTGATGCCTCCTATCTATGACCTGCATGACTTACATCACGCAACGCGAGATTTATCTTCTTCCAGCAATACGGCGTAACAAAAGTAGAGGTGTGTTACTGTACAGGTGGTAAGCGGCCGGCCAATGCGGACCACAACTTCCGCATGACCCCAGTCAGCTAGAATGCTCGCGGAGCCATAGTCACGAGTCCGTTGACGGTGGCCCACAGGTGCTCATCATCGGCGCCGACCACCCTTCATACTGATCTCCCTACGGCCAGGCTAGCCCTGAACCTCATTAGGGCGGGCCTAAAGCACCTCTGTGCCGGTCATCTCGTCGTCGAGAAGCACGCGCGTGTGAGCGACAGCCGGAGGACTCGCTACGATATCCTGACGCACCATGATCCAATACATACGTCTTTTTGTTCCAGAGTGTCGAGTAATACTGAGCCCAATGAATGCAACAGCTAGCGATCTACTGCACGTTCCGTAAGCCATTGCATCACAGTTGCTGAGCGCACCCCGACTCATTACCGCATATCCCCTAAATTTTGGCTAGTCTTTTCTTCTTCCAAAGAAGCACACCACCAACTATGCCGGCCACCGTTGATATCACTGGGGCCTGTCCCGCAGACCGGCTCAAGCTCTACATGAGGCGCTCAGCATCAACATCTGCTCTCTTTGGAGGCCGTCCACGTGGGAACACAACGCGCAGAAAAACAAATGGGACGTCACCGTCTGGCGCGCGGATGGCGCAGAGCGAACGCTATGGTGCGCCCACGCTCCGCAACGGCGGCGCACGCAACTGCGGGCTCTACTACCTGTCCATCACGCACGGCGAAGATACTACATTGGTGCGTCTGTCTGCGTCTATGTTCTGGCGGCTGCAAATTCTCATCGGTGGCGATGCTCCTGTAGATATCGGCACGTACCGCGGGATCGTCAAGGGCAAGACAAATTCAAGTCCGTGCGGCGTCGGGCCTAACGACGGGAGTGAGCTCCGCGCGGGCGCTGTTATCACCGCCGAAATGTGTGTGCTGTGCCACCCGCGGCTGTCGATGAACAAGCCTCTTCATTTGTGCGTACTAGGTTCGATGATGTGCATGCCGAACCCCAAGCTGCTTGGCGAGGCCATAAGCGCAACGGCCCCGCAGGCTGTCAGTGGATGAGGATCGCGGAGAAGAGGACCATCTAGAGTCGCGGAACTCAATGATCGGCGAGAGTAAAATATCTAGTCAGGGCACGCACAAAAATTAGCACACCAGTGTCCTTGCGCCCTTCAGTTGTTCATCAAAGTACACGCCTGATTACCTGCCCTGCGTGACGCTCATGGCTTCGACGACCCGGATGGCGGCCGGATGATCCTGGGCGCGGTATACACCCGCGACGGTCTCTGATGTTGCCTAGAGGATGTTCATGCGGCCGTCGTTGGCAAACAAACCGTCGGGGCTACATTTTTGTACCGGTCTGAAGTCACCGCGTGAATTAGCGAACGGTGGGCAAGCTGGAAGAGGGCATATCCGCCGAACGTCCGCGTGCGCTAGTTTGTGTCAATGAGGATGATTCACGAGCGATAGAATCTGCGAAGCATGCAGATGAATCCTGGAATTTGGAGACAGATGTCCAGGTATCGTGCGCAGTATGGTTTGTTCTGGACTGGAAGCACAATACAGTAGGCCAGCGGATGGGCTCAGCCAGAGCTGAGACAAGGGACAACGGCGTGCTCACCAGCTCCTCAACCACAATAATATCACGTCTTTACAACAAACAATTGGCATCGGGGCACTTGCATCAAGATCGAAGTGCATGCGACAACGCGGCTTTCAGAGTATCAGAAGGCAGAATTCAAACGAGCAGGCGCAGAGCACTCAGAGACGCGTAGACGCGCGATGGTCAAAGTCATTATCAGCTACTGATTAGATAAGGGCGAGAAAGTGATTAAGGCGCTTATCTACGTCTTGTTCGTGACCAGTCGCAGCTTCCTTGTATCTCGGTCTTCCTCGGTCTTTCAACGCAGATGCGTTCTCCGACATCTGACCCACGTTGATACATTGCACTCTGCCAGGTACATACCACAGCACCACAGCCGATACGCGCGACGTCCTCGGTGGCCTTACTCGTCCTGCATCCAGGACAGAAGATCGACAACCTCTTCTCCCCTTATCTGAACATAAACTATAATGCACACTCGCATACGTTTATAAAACCTTGAATATGGTGCGCAAACTTCTTGTTACTCGGCCACTGCGACTCTCACCTGCAGCCCGCGTTGTTTCGTACAGGATGATTTCAGCCCCCTTACCATACGATATACTTCGCCCAGTCGTCTCGGAAGCAATCGATAATTCCAGTAAAGATCTTCTTGTCCACTGTCGGGTGCCTGGCGTGCAGAGTGTGGACAGAGTGAGTTGCGATGGTTCTTGTTACGTGACCGCATCTTACGGATCATATATGTACCCCTTTCAGAGCTGAGTCCTGCCCCTCAATCCCAATTTAGGGTGCAGCTGGGGAAGCTGGCCACGAATAGAGGCACTGCCCTGAAGGAGGCGACAAGAGAGCGGTGTATCGAACTGGACAAGGTGCGCAAAGATGCACTTTGATAGAGAGATAGCTGTAGAGACAGCTCAGCTCTAGTCGTGCAAGAACACAACGGTCCGCTGCTCTCGGTCAAATCCTACCATGGATCATGTCGAGCATTCTAGCACGAGTGCTCAATGCCTCACCACCCCGATCAGATTGCTCGTTGCCTTTCCATCCCGTATCGTGGTTACCGCGACACTCAGTCCCACTTGTAGACGAGTTGCCCACGCATGGCTTATAAATGGCATGTTGCAAGCAGAAAAATGCGTCTCCCAGCTCTGAATCTGGCACTGCATGCATCGTTTTGCATTGCATCCGCGGCTCATTATGCGCGGCAGACTTTTAAGTTGACATGCATGAGCGTACGCTTTCTCGCCCATATGTATCGCATTGATACTGAAAAGCGTGAACAGGCCAGATATTCGCCGGTACACGCAGGCGAGCGAACATTTCGCGAAATGTTCTGCACTCGTGGTGCACGTCGCTGCTGGTGCTAGAGCGTATCTGACTCCCTATACTCCCGCTGTGAGTCCCGGTTCTCTCAATAGTCGCGTCCATCTTCCATTTACGTCTCGGTCTGTCCCAGCATCGTCTCATGCGTCCCGAGCACGCACTACTCAAGCCGAAGACCGCCGAGACAGATCTCGTACATTGGGTGTTGTGGCGCGCAGCGACTTGTCCGGCTGACGAGCTCACCAAGTCAGAGACTGTACGCCGGTCAGCGCATTTTGCCCGCTCATTGGTATGCTAACAAGACGAACGTTGCTCCTAGGTCGTTCGCCTATGCTCTGCCCCCAATCGCACCATGATCTCTGAAGTCGTCAGCGCAGGCAATGCCCGGGCTACTACCATGCTAGCAGATATCATTGGGACGCGGAGCTAACACAAAACACCCCGGGACACTTGTTGTGTTTGGGGCGGAGTTACATGCTGTTCGAGTTGCGAAGGCGAGACATAACGTCGGACGGTGAGCGTGTTGTGGCCTGGACGTAGGTGACAGTGTATATTTATCGGTCACAAGCGGCCTGCAATGAAGAGTATTTGCTATATGGGGTCGATTGTGCGAGCCTGGTTGTGTTCTGCGCAGTCCGGAAGATGGTTGATCTCAGATGTAGCGATATGTGGTGTATCGCTTTGCTTCCACGCCGTTCTGCCCAGGGTAAAATGAAGGGGCCGGCTCCGACTGTTCCGCCTCAATATCTACCGTCCGAGTCAGACCCGACTTCTGCGTCGACGTCGTTGCCGAACGCGAGTTGGCGACGTCGCTGGAGACCTGGAAAGAGCACTATGCAGAGCGCATAATTCTGAGAAGCAGCAGACACCATCAGTACCGCGACGACCAGCGTCGGCGTCGAGAGGGAGAGACAAACTAGCACCACGAATAAATGTGCGCGTCTCCTCAACGTTTACAGACGCACGGCGTCTTCCTCTTCAGGTGCCCTACCATCCTCTCCTCGTCCAGATATACACTCATCGCCTCCACGGCTCCGCCGACCCCGAATCCTTCTTCTGACGCTGCCTTCCTCGTCGGTCTCGCTCGTCGAGTACCGCCTGACCGGCGGAACGCACAACCTCGACTAGTTGGCCAGCCCGAGCCCGCGGGAAGTCATCGAACAGTACGGCGCGCTCGTAGGCCTGTCGACATGGCAGCCAGTGTGGAGCTTCGGCTTCCACCGGTGCCGCCGAGCTGAGGCCACTTCAGCCTGACTGAGACGCGCGAACAGGTGCGGCACGTGTGTGACGCGGACATCCCGCTCGAAGGTCCGTCGCGCGCGCGCGCGTTGGAGCGTGTGGGCCGATGAAGTCGCCGGTGATGTGCAATGACATTGTTTGGGATCATGCGGTGAGAGACTTCACGGCGGACCCGGTGTCGTTCTCAGCGGTTCTCGATGTAGATGGTATGCGAACCATGGCTGTGGAGACGAATTAGCCGTACAATTCTCGCCATCAAGGAAGGACACCCACACGGTCTGGTCGATAGGATCAGCAACGTCCCGCGCCCACATGTTTTGGATCATCCCGACGCCGCCGTCGGTGCTGGCATCCCTGCGGAAGCCGCTGCTCGCGACGACCTCTCCTAGGCCGTAGATGTTCGTCCCGAGCGGGAGCGCAGATGTGAGTCGAAGATACTGGTCGTCTGACACTAGCGGGAAGCCGTCGAGGGCGGTGGAGATCATAGGCGGGATGGGCTTGGGGGGAAGAGAAGAGATCCGGGTGTCGAACAGTGGCTATGCGTCAGGCTCAGAGCGACGTGTGACCTAGGACGCAAACGGGGAAGGCTCACAGTTGAAGACGGTATCAGAGCCGTTTTTGTGAATGGAAGTCGGCATTCCTGGAAGGTCGATTACCGAAGATGAGACAGCGAATTGAGAACTGGCAGTGTCAAAATGTCCACGTGCAGCCTGCCATGCTATTGTAGAAAGCAAATGAATGTTCTCACCTCGTACCAGAATCGTAGGCGGGGCCACGTTTGCAATATCCTGCCCGAACGCGCTACAAGCAGCGCCGGCCAGGTTGGGCTGGGTGGCCATCCCAGTGTCTGTCTCTCGCAGCGCGCTCAGAGTATAGCCTGCAAAATGTCCCATTCCACTGTCATATTCTATGATGAGCGACTCACCGGGGTAACTCGAGGACTCAGAATGGAGTGGGTCGATGGACGAGTCTAAAAGCGAAGCGAGCCGACCGAGTCCTATAAAGCGCTGGATTGACCTGGCCATCGAGAAGCCGATGCCCTGACATCAAGCGACGTTGGCGTTTAGTGCATGAGCACTGCCGTCACGGATACGAACGTCTAATCTGGCCATGCTAGACCTGACGTCGAAACACACCGTGGCCCAAGTAATCTCGGCCGGCCCTCGTGACCCTAGTAAGGCGCCAAGGCCCAAGCGTCCGTGCCGGGCTAGAATCTCCTCAGGTGTGCAACAAAAGTAGGGTGCCGAGTCTTTGGACATGAGAGTCGTGGTCCAGGTCCATTCGATGAAGCTCTGCAGGAGACACGTGATTCATCCCTTTGTGGCGCGGTTATCTCCGGGAACCCGTTTTCGCCACTAGCCGCCAGTAGCGAGGGCTCAACTTCTCGCGTCCCAAAACTTCTCTCCTACGAGCGTAAGCATTTTTGTTTTCTATGTCATATATAGCTTACTGATTGTACTGTAGACGGATCATTGGTCCGTATCGTGGCCTCGAGCGCGGCCATCCTGCCGGCCGGCCTTCTGCGCGTGCGGTCGGCCACTCACCCCAGACGACCTCAATGCGGAAGCCCACCGAGGGCCTTAAACTGACATGCCAGCATGCTACAATAGTAGTATTTCTTCTTGTATAGCGGTACGTTGCCGCTTTCTCGCAGGATCATCCTCTGTTTTTGATTGTTTCTCCAAGATTTTTCGACCCTCGAGCTGGGCTGCCAAAATGTTGTCCACCTGGTGAGTCCCCACATGACTACGCGCATGAGATATATCGTAAAAAGCATCAAAATGCGCGTCTTCGTACAGTTGTATATTTATCAACTTAAGAAGGACTGGGGCTAGTCGCAAGGACATTTAGTGGTTGAGAGTCCGGTCCAGTCCGGTCTTTTTAAAAAATTGGGTGGGACCAGGACTCAGACTGGTCAAGGACCAGCATCTATTTGTGCAGGACCGGACCAAGACTGGGTCCTGGTCCTGTACAGTCCTCCATGCAGTCCTGGACCGGTCATAACCAGTCTAGGACCAAATGCGGTCTTAGACCGATTCAGACCAGCTCAGACCAGTCCTGCCCTGATAAATATGGCACAAATAAACAAATTTTGATTTTGAACTGCATGTACAGGTAGACTAGCAGTATACTAAGCTAATTTCTGGACAAATCAGTTTTGAGACCACACTACTCAGCCTAATGAGTCAAAGAGGAGACAGTGTGTGAGTCTCAAGAAGGCCAGAAGAGTGTACCAGATGCCTATCTCAGAAGTGCTATATACCATTCATGCATTGCCAGACTGTCTTTATGTACTGTAAGGCATCACAGAAATACTGTTGCATAGAGTCTGATATTGAGGAAGTGTTTGACATGGCTGAATATTTGATGAACTCAAAGGCAGGGGCTCAAAAAAATAGCCACAGCTGTGGTCTGTGTTGTTAAGGTTCAAGAGAGGTATTTGGCAGGTAGACAGCTACTTCACGTTATGTCATACATATGAATGAAAGGCAATATTGTATATGGGCAAATATAGGTAAACAATGTGCACACAAGGCACCGGTGAACACTGTACACTTAAAAATCAAAACAAATATTCAGCTAGTGATATGCAGGCACAGCTTGAGCTTAAAGCCCAGGATTGGGTCCATGGCAATGTTGGGCTAAGTCCTGACCCCAAGCCTGAGCCTGAGCCTGAGCCCGGCCCAAGTTGCCAAGCTTAGGATGAGTTCACACTAGCAGAGACTGCCCACTGACTCAAGCCTGGCTTTGAGCCCACTGCCAGGCCAGGCTCAGGTCAGGCTTTTCTGGGCTGGGCTTGCAAGCTTTGAGCCAAGGCTGCACATTACTATATTCAGCAAAGAAAACAATGCTCTGCTCACGCGGCTGGATTCTAAATAGAGAAGAAGGGTATCATGCACCACTTTCATCATTCTCAGCATTTCTGTATAAAACCTCCATATCCTTGAGAGCCTTGTTATCTCTACGCTCAGGCTCCATCTTCCCGTGGTCATGGCTTTAGCTGATTATGTGCAGTAACTGCATCCAAACTTGAATAAATCATAAAAAGAGTTTTTAAAAATGTATTAATCTGTGCTTAAGCTGGCTGTGTACTTGGACAAGCCTACAAGGGCATGGTTGCAGTTCAGAAATTACTAAGATATACATGTACCAGTAGCTAAGCTGCTTTCTGGGTGCTGCATTTTTGTTACTTTATATTGGTCTGTGACTGGTCCTGACTGGTCATGACCAGTCCTAAAAGCACCCAGCGCCATCTAGGACCAAGGACTGTGACCAAGACCGGACTGATGTAGGACTGGACCATACCCAGTCCTGATCAGTCCAGTCTCAGTCCAAGTCCCGGTCCCGACCGGTCCTTAGGACCGGACCCTCAACCACTAAGGACATTGCCAGCACATATCTGATACTATCGCAGTGAAAGCCTTTAAACGGCCTGATCCCAATGAGCCTGCGGCCTCTAATGTCATATGAACGATGTGTTGAGTCGTGTACTTGAGACGGCTCAGGTGACCATTACCAGGTACGCTGCCTGTATGCGTTACGTTGTACATTGATGGGGCCCCGAGGCGATGCGCCTGCGGAGCAAAGAACCTGCAAGCGCGTGTTCGTTGAAGCCTCCATGGATGCTGCCATATTTTAAGACGTTCAAATGTAGACACTATTGGCAACATCAAGCAACTGACTGCGAAGACTCCGAAGGTCTGTGGTGCGTTCTTGTTGTCGTTCCAAAACAAGTATCCGGTTCCCCGAGATTCCTGACAGCGCAAATATAGCGTACTAATAGTCCCCAATCCGGCATTATCATTGCATCTTACCCCATATCTTCGGTCCGTGATGGCCTGGGTTTCAGAACTTTCATGCTGAGTCCTGACTGGCAGCCGTACTCAACCACGGTTCGATGCCGAGATCAACGTCACAAACGTTATCAACATCATGATCCAGACTGGCACTTCGGCTGGTGCGTCCGTTCACCTCACTTGTGTATGTGTGTTCAGAACAACTGCCATCTAGGGTTCGCAGCGACGCGCAACTTGTGCTCTCGGCAGCAGTTCAATCATGAGTATTGCGTCCGTGCTGCACTCGTGGTCGTGAAGCGCTACTGGATTGCACTCCTTGTGGGCGCAAAGGGTCAGCTCCAGAGATTTCACGGATGTATGGACTGTCTAAATGCGACCGGCTACGTCGAGCATGGCCGAGCGAGTCTATCATGTGGCGCAGGGCACCGGTTAGACTCTGCCTTTTTACGAGCGTGCCATAACCCAACGAGTCACAGCGAGGTGCATTGTTTGAGAAACATAACCTGTCTGGTTGATAGTTGATACTATTACTGGAGCTATGAGGTTGAATGGTGATGAGAAATTGGTGGGACGGAGTCGCAACGATTCCGCACAGCAGCTCAACACCAAATCCGCCTGTACTCCTTCCCAGTCATGTCCGCGGTAGCATACTAGACCTCAAGGGAGATAGCACGATAACAAGCTGAATAGTTGCGCTGGCTGGGGAGCTGCTCCAACCACTGCGGTGGGTATAAATCGAGGCCGCATTTCAGCTGCCTTATTTGTGGAGCTTATGAAGCTCATCTGCTGTACTCATGTTTGCTCGTCTATAAAGTATCTATGATATCTGCATTGTAAAGATGTATCATCTAACACATGACCATTTTTTGGTGTTCTACTATCTTGATACATATAGTGATGTGCGGGCCGGGCCTCAAAGCCCGCGAGCCCGCTAAGCCCGGCCCAAAAAGCCTGACCCGAGCCAAGCCTGGCAGCGGGCTCAAGGCCGGGCTCGGAGCATAGTCAAGCCCAAGCCCGGCCCGGAAGCCCAGGCTTGGGTGTACCGGCTCTGTTACTGTTCCCTGAGTTCAGGATAAGGTGGGAGAGATCTAAGATGTACATACCAGACATAATATTGATATTTTAGACTCGACGGTTCCCGCCGAGCACGATTGTGCATCACCGTTTGGTGCTTGCCGTAGGCGCGCGCTCGTGGGCTTCGCTGCGACTCGACTTATTCCCCGAGTGTACATCTTCTGGAGGCTGAATTCAGTGAGTACACGCGGTAATAATCTACTACATCCAAATATACTCCCTTTTTATAGCACCATAATATTCATTGTATTGTGAGCAAGCCCGGGCTTTGAGCCCAAGCCGGGCCCGCACATCACTAGATACATAGCAGCAGACTACAATCAACTGAGCTAATACAGAGATCTGATCTATGGACGGTACTGGGCTACGGACATGCTGTAGTATATATTCCTCACAGACTGGTCCATTGCTCCGCATCAACCTACCTGCACCTTCTCACCACGGCTAACGTGGGTCAGTCATACAGCAACCCACTAGAGCAAGAAGTTCAACAAATGTACGGCTCCTCTCTCTTCTCCCTTGATAATCTACGCCCTGCCACTGACACCTTTCACATGTATTCAGTCAGATAGATAACTACGTGACATTCTAGCTTACCTGTATGTTGTGGTATTTCTGAGCTCTAGGGATACCAGTCAAGCCTACAGGCTATTGGTCTTTTACCAGGCCTCCAGACCTACGAATATATCGTAAAATTTGACCAAGAAATTGCTGTGGCGTGGAGGAAAAGACTCACAGCAACATCACTGCTATTGCTAAGCACTCGGTGGATCATGCTTTCGAACGTGATTCTCACGTTTATGCCGATGACACTAGCTGTGTGTAAGATTACTTATACTGCTCAACTGAAAAGATGATTATACTGACTAGTTTTACCCCACCGTATTATTTCTCCAGGTGTATCTCTCTCTCTTTCACAGAATAATTTCTGATAAACCATCACACTTATCATAAGCTGCAAATCGCTCATCATAGTCAACGACCTGATATATGCGGCAGGTTTCATTTTGCCATCATGTGAGCCCACCTACCATGCACCAATGGTTCTATGACCTATCTTGTTAGCAGTATTCTCTGCTCCGCGTGTATATGCACTCTGGCATGCATCTAAAATGAAGCTTCTCTTCTCTGCCATTGTTCTCGTACTTGGAGCAAT